AAAGCCTTAAACACTGTTTAAAGGAATAGTTCACCCAAAAATGAAAATATGCTGAAAATGTACTCACCCTCGGGCCATTCAAGATGTAAAAGAATTAGTTTCTTCATCAAATTTAGCATTACATCACTTGCTCACCAGTGGATCCTCTGAAGTGAATGGGTGCCGTCAGAATGAGACTCCAAACAGCTGATAAAGACATCACAAAAATCCACAAGTAATCCACATGACTCCAGTCCATCAATTGATTTCTTGTGATGTTTTAACATCAAGCCACTGCTTTCAGCTAAAATACAAGGCCTCTATCCATTATATTGCTTCCTCCAGGGAAAAGTCGACTCAACTGACTCAGGATAGAAATATGTACAGATCAAACACTACTTACAAATGAAAGCAGTCCAAAACAGTTCTAAACAAATATGTCAGTGGATTTTGATGTGAGAGGAGCACAGGGGATATACTTTTTTACTGGAGGAACTAAGTGTTATTATGGATTATGGACTGTGGATTATGCAATGTTAAAACACCTTAATGATGGATTTGTTTCTTACAAACATGCAGATTTTCACTTTACAAGAGGTGATGGATTGAAATCGTGTGGATTACTCTCATTCTGACAGCACCCATTCACTGCAGAGGGTGAGCAAGTGATGTAATGCTGAATTTCTTCAAACCTGTTCCAAAAAAGAAACAAACTCTATGGCCTAAGGGTGAGTAAATTTTGAGCAAATTTTCATATTTGAGTGCTATTTAGGGCTGCACGATAAATCGCATGCGATATTTAATGCGCATCTTGTCAGAAAGCCGGTTCTGTAAATGCTGCTCAATGTGAAAGCACGCACGTGATGGAGATTTACCGCTGATTACAGAACCGGCTTTCTGACAAGATGCGCATTAAATATCGCATGCGATTTATCGTGCAGCCCTAGTGCTATTCCTTTCAAATTTATCTCACCAAGCCATTCGGCATAGTCTGCTGGCCCTGGTTCAAGTACATGTAATGATTGTTATAGCCTGTGCAGTCTATAACACTATACACTCGCATGTATGGAAAAACGGAGAAGAGGAAGCACCTGGAATCACCTACAGTGCAAAAAGAAGAAGAAACATTAATTGTGATGCATAACACTGTATATGGTTTTTTCTTTCCAAACTCACCCTGGAACTGAGGTTTGACCTCCCAGCTTTGAGATGCAAAGACCCCGAAGATATGCCCTTTAGAGTCCTTTACCAAAATGACAGTGGTACTCCGACTTTTGCAGTTGCCCACCAGCCGAGAAGGGTATAACTGCAGCCTGGAGATCTCCAAATGGGGGCGGGAACTCCAAAATAGGGCATGGTTTCCTCCCATTGACAGGCAGGCACATGACACGCATGCAAAAAATTCCCCCCCAATCCACTTCAGTGCAAACTGCGCCCCACAGCTGATTCTAACGTTTTTATTGGTTGTGTCAATTAAAGTGTTGATTTCCTACACTATGCTACAAAAAATGCTAACCCCTAAACCTACCCCACACCTGACCCTAACCTTAACCAGTGAAATTGACTGCACGGCGGATTGGTGCTGAATAGCGTGGTAAAGAAAGTTGCGGTTCAGGAGATAAACAGTTAATACGATTATGCGATATGAGATCGTTCCGTAACTCCCCAACCGGACCTCACCGGACAATGGCACCTTTTTAGTTACACCCAGCATCACTACCCCCTCCTACCCTGCGAATTTCGAGCCCCGGGATGCCCCCGTTGCTTAGAACAAAGCAATAGAGTAAAATCTTTCCCCTTCGCTGCGCTGGGACGGCTCGCGGGAGAGCTCGTGGGTGATTCCCGTTTATTAAGCAGAGCTTCAAACTCCCGTCCGAACACCACTGGCCACGAGCTTTGGGCTCTGCTCTCATGGAGAATATTTATTTATATAGCATATTTTATTTTAGATGAACTAGAAACAATGTTTAATTTATAAAGTTTTTTTTTTTTAAATGTAAGTCAATAACAATTGGCTGGAGCCAGAGCCAATGGTGAAGTCTTTGCACTAGGAGACCCAGCCCATTTTGGAGGTTCTGCCCACTTTTGGAGTTCACGCCCCATTTTGGAGATCTCCGGTCTGCAGTTATATCTACTTGGACCAGCCGGGTGAAGCTTTCCCAGTGTATGTTTGTGGAGAACAGCAACCTCCAAGGGGCACTATGTCCAGCTGGCAGCTGAGGTGACAGGAACATCAGAAGAGGTATATTCAAAAGACAACGGAGGTCACTCCAGGGAGCGTACTGACACGGAGGCAACAGAGTTGGGGGAGGACGGTAGGGCAACCCAACTCCTAGACCCTCACCAATCAGGAGCTCCAAAAACATGGCCATTGCTGGGATCCGGAACAGCCAGTCTTCCAGACAAGGAATATCACACGTATTCTGATCTATAGAAACAACAAGGACTAATTATATTAAAGGGATCATATGATGTTGCTAAAAAGAACATTATTTTGTGTATTTGGTGTAATGAAATGTGTTTATGTGGTTTAAGGTTCAAAAAACACATTATTTTCCACATACTGTACATTATTGTTTCTCTTCTATGCGTCGATTTTTACAAAGCTCATCGGTCTGAAAAGCGAGGTGTGCTCTGATTGGCCAGCTATCCAGTGCGTTGTGATTGGCCGAATACCTCAAGCGTGTGACGGAAATGTTATGCCCCTACCATATAGTGATGAGAAGTCCGGTTCTTTTCTGCAAACCGGTTCTTTCGGACAGTTCGTTTCAATGAACCGGTTCATCGGTTCTTTGTCGCCCTAACGTAATGACGTCATTCGCGATGACGTAATGATATCAAGTCTATAATCCTGGGCCGGGATGAAAATACACATTCAAATATATAAAGTCAGTAGTCATAACTTCAGTCAGTTAAAGCATCATAATCATGATCTGAAAAGTTTACAATTAAGTTTTGCAACTAAGCACCCAAATACAGTAACAGGCAGTGATGTGCATACGAGGATTTAAGTCTTGAAGATATAAAGTAAATAAATTAGTTGTCATCAGCGCAGAAACCATAATCCACTTACTATACATAATCCATTGTGATTTATTTGTTATTAAATAAACTTACGTTTCGCCAGATTGCCCTTCATTCAAGTCTTCGGTTTACCCGCGCTCATAACATTAGCACAGAATCAGTTGTCCAAAAGAACCAGTTCGGTTCTGACGTGCTGTATCAGTCATAGTAGGCCATCATGTACTGTTCGGTAGCTTCACGCTGAATCACGCATGCGCAGTATCATCAGCTCATCAGTTCTCAAATCGGACGTGTCTGAAAGAAATGGTTCTCAGTTAAGTGTACTGGTGATCTGAAAACCGATGCAACTAGTTCTTGACTCGAGAACGAGAATCAGCTCATCGGTTCTCAAATCGGACGTGTCCGAAAGAAACAGTTCTTGGTTGAGTGTACCGGTGATTCGAAAACCGATGCAACCGGTTCTTGACTCGAGAACGAGAACCGCTCCAGCAGTGGGCGTGTACGTTCGTTATCCGGCTCGCTGCACACATGCTGCTCTGCTCGTGTTCATCTTCAGTTCTCTCTTCACAGCAGTTCAGTCAGTGTACTGTTTGAGTAAATGAATTACTCCGGGATATTGGTTTATTTCGACTCAGAGGGAGTGTCAGCCATGTTAAAAAAGTGAATAACTTAAGTAATTTGTGGATTAATGCTTACTGGAGACGCGAACCGTTTCAAACGATTCAGTTCGATTTGGTGAACTGGTTCAACCGGTTCACTAAGAAGAACCAGTTAAATCGAACGATTTGTTCGCGAACCGGACATCACTAACTCCAAAGAGAAAGGAAAAATTTAAATCACATCATATGACCCCTTTAAATAGTTATTTTGGTGTGCACTATATCTGTTGGTTACAGATTTGTTAACATTAACTAAAACTAAAAGTGCAATAAAAACATTTACAGCTAAATACTAATATATTTGTATATATATAAACCACTTAGTATATATATATTTATATATATACATATAATTTTTCAGTCATACTATGAATTTTTATTTGAATTTAAAACAGTGTTTATTTTGTTCATGTTACAAACCTGAAGATTTTAATTCAGAGTTCAGCTGTTCTGCCAGAAGCTTAACACCTTGAGGCCCATCACCCATGCGATCTGGTTGCGAAGCTCGCAGATGCCCCCTGTGGGCTAGAGTCTGCACTGCAGCTAAAACCAGGTCCTCCACAAACTATTCAATAAACAAAAATAAAAATATTACGATATCATAGCAGCAAGAATTATTTAGAAATTGATTTGAGATGTTTTATTGTTAAATTGAGTTTGTGGGTCTAAATGGCTATCATGAGTCAGCAAACTAAGTGGTTTATCTGATTGTGGCTTTAATTAACAGTGTTGTTATAGTTAACTAAAGCCATTAAAAATAATTGAAATGAAGCTGAAATAAAAATAAAATATTAGCTGAAAATTTAAGCTTAAAAAATCAAATAAAAATGAAATTTATATAGAAATTATTCATCTAATAATTTAATTATTTAAATTTAACAAAATTACGAAAACTTAAACCAAAAATAAAATGAAAACTAAAAATATAAAAATGAATGAATACTATAATAATATATAAATAACACTTAACACCGATACTGAAACACTTTGTATGATTAGATTTTGGTGATACTTACACCTCTGATCTGCTCAGTTGTGGTAGCAGTAGCCTTTGCACCCTCAGCCATTGCCAAGACCAAAGGTGCATGTTCTTCTGCAGTTCCTCTAAGAATATCTGCCAAGAAAATCACCAGCTGCTCGCGACTTATCCCATCACCAGGGGGCACTGGCACTCCTGGATCAATGCTGTGTATGCCCTGAAATACAGGTGCATCTCAATAGACTTAAACTACTTCAGTCTGTGTGCATTGAATTTATTTAATACACGAGTTTCACAATTTGAGTTGAATTACTGAAATAAATGAACTTTTCCATGACATTCTAATTTATTGAGATGCACCTGTACTCTCTTTATCATGGATTCTGAGGCCATCTTTGCCATTGTCATCTAAAACAAATAAAAGGAAAACTGAAAAGTCAATATCCATGTATGTTAAAGGGATATTTCGCTCAAAAATGAAAATTTTTTTACTCACTTTCTTTCTTATGTTGAACATAGAAGATATTCTGAAGAATGCTGGTAATCAAACAGTTGATGGTCCCCATTGACTTCCATAGTATTTCTTTCCCTGCTATGGAAGTCAATGGGGACCAACAACTGTTTGGTTCTTCAAAATTCTTCAAAATATCTTCTTTTGTGTTCAACATAAGAAAGAAACTTATTCAGGTTTGGAATGACATGTGGGTCAGTAAATGATGACAAAATGTTAATTTTTGGGTTAACTATTCCTTTAAGTGTTGGCACAGACATGCAATTTAAACAATGACTTGCATCAGTTCACCAGTCATAACATTTACATTTATGTTTTAGCACATGCTTCTTTTTAGATATTCTACAATACTCTTCTGTCTTTTTACAAATAATATCAGACAACATTTAAATGTTTATCCAATAACAATACCCAATTATTTATAACTGTCCCTTCCATGAGGAAGTAATTACTGTATGTGGAAAATTTGAAAATATGTGGGCATTTTCTAAAATCAGTTCCCATGTGGTCTTTGAAACATTCAGTTTAAGCCAGTGTTATTTTAGCATAACTTGGATACAATTATACTACAATAATTTGAATTTTTATTATTTTTTATATTTTATTTTTCATTGTAATTTTAGTTAAAATTTCAGTAATTTTGGTGTATGTTTTGTCATTTCTGTCAGGACCACTATCGTCAAAGATGATTAACAATTAGCATACAGTTTGGATTGGCGGTATGGTTCTGTTCTGGGCAAGAACTCCCTGCGCATCCATGCAGCCTAGCATAGATGAGAGCAGGGAGAGCAGCGATAACCCCCCAGGGTAAACAGAACAGAACCAACATGAATGTATTGCAGATATCGTTAAAGTTCAATCATTTAATGTACACACTTAGAATTAGTCTGATTCAAAGGAAAATCAGAAGGCTGAATCCTGACTGAGAGGAGGAGCTGGGGATGGAGGAAGGTAATTAGCTATGAGCAATGCGAAAACTGCTGATAATATGCTTAGATAGGTGTCCTATTCCTATAGGTAGATGGGGATCAGCTGAGAGTCAGCTGATGCGAGCTTGACTAACCTGACCTGCCAGAACTAACGCTACGCTTGATCTTTATAAATATTTTTTTAAGTATTGTACAGCCTATCTATGACAAGCAATCGATTTCTCCACTCAAATCGTCCATGTAACCGTCATTTATTAACAACTCGACAAAAGTTCTAAAACATAAATAGGCTTAGCTGGTAGCAAGTTGATACCGGAAGGGTTCAACACCCATCGTGTGCAAATGTGCAATACTTTACATCAGACATAAATAGAAATTCAAAACAGTGACACAAACCAGCTCCTAGTACCAGCTACGACAACAGTTTTCCAACTCTGGCACAAACCATCATTGCCGTCTAACAACAGCTACAACAACTGTTTTCCAAAGCTGGCATAAACCATCATTGCGGTCTCCAAGAAAGAAATCACAACCACCCATCTGGCATTCAGCGTGCACGCCGCCATTACCCCAAAGCTAATACCATGCCATTCATAAAGGACGCGATGCTAGAAACTACCGTACTCCCCCTACCAAACAGGACTACCATAAATACTATAGTGGTTGTAACCATCACATTATAATAGTTTTTGTAAATTTTCTTATCAGTTTTAGTTATTTATTTTAGTTTTAACTATAATAACCCTGGTTCAATATGATGTCACACCGGAACACAAAATCATTAAAGATAGTGCCATGCAATCTTTTCTAAAGCTAACAAGGACATAATAGTCAACAAACTTAATCAAATAAATGTTATCATACAGACTGCAGCAGCTTAAGTATAACAGATCCAGTTAAATGTATTGTTATGTCACAGATGCTTACCTTCAACATGTCCAGGGATAAAACCTTCCCCGTTTTTCCAGATGAAACAGAGGAGCCAGATCCATGAAGCCTGTCAAATATCCCCTCTATAACAGGTCTCTCATCCGGACGAAAACGAGCCAGTCGTTTCTGCGCTACAACACTATCAGCGTTCCCCATCACCCTGAAGGAAAACACGAATCAATGTAAAAAAATAAATGAACTAATTCATGGAATTAAGTGTCATGGGCACAACAGAATACATTAAATATTTATCCAGCTTCCTACTGAAACTAAGTGCTAATGGGAAATGTTGAAATACAGTGCACACTTGAGTTATGAAAGACTGAAGTGGGATTTTCAAGACCTGCTCAGCGGTTCAGTGTGACATTTCGACTCACGATGTAAACAAAACACACACACTATTTCCTGGTTCTGCACTACATCACGCGCAGAGGACCAATGAATGGAGAGAAACTTCGAAACGCGCTGTGATTGGCTGAATCAGAGCTGCGTCATCCGCGATGTGATTGTGGTTCCCTTTCATGGGAACTTCGAACTGCGTCCTCGCGTTCCCCATAGCGACCCCTAGAGGACGCAGTGTCTCGTTCCCTACTCCGGGAACCATGGTTACATAAGTAACCTGAGACGTTTTCCTAGAGGCAAATTAGCTGGAACTTGTATCGAAAATAAGAAGAACGAAGGATACTACTACTAAAATTACATTTACCAGTTCTAAAAAAACACCACACGGTAGCTACTTTTTCTACTGCCACCGCTTTTTAATCTTAGATTTAAATACTAACAAGGGAGTGCTACAAGGGACACAAGGGAGTGCTAGGGGTCCGTTGAATAAAGAAAAACAGTGTAAAATAAATAGATAAATAAATACATTTAAAAAATTAAAAATAAATAAGTAATACATCTACGGTACAGTACAATAATATAGCGAGTAGAACAATTATAGGCTATATTCATATAATTATGAATATTACATAATTATAATATATATTATAATTTGCTGTGTTACTTATGAGAATGTTAACGATTACAAAGGGGGTTACATCTGAATTTTTTTTCCACACATACAGATTTGATTGATTTCTTTCATAAATTGCATTGACTGCTCTAAAATACGAGAAACTGTTTTTCCCAGGCATTGTTGGATATCAGTGTTAACCGCCATATCCAAAGATTTGATTTCAAATCATAGCTATTAAACTATTTCTTGTTATGATTTTAAATCTGTATTTAACCTCAGAATGATCTCAAAGTAAAAAGAGGTGCTAACGTCTGATTTTGTGGTGGCTGTGCTTTAAATTAAATTATTATAATCTTAATTCAAGTGATGAATGATTTTGATTTTGTGTCGAGTCCTGCTGTAAGAACCCTGCCTGCTTTGCATGTTTCAAAATGATTAATAGTTGAAAACATAAGAAATTTAGAAAAGTGATCAAAAAGTAATTAAATGTAATCAGTTACATTTTAAATAGGGTAACTTGTAATCTGTAACCTATTACATTTCCAAAGTAGGCCTATCCTTCCCAACAGTGTGTGTGGGTGTGTGTTTGTTTGTGTATAATTAGTTTGATGCTAGTAGTGCCTCTTGTTGTCCAGAAGAGGGTAGACTAACACAGTTATTTAAAGCATCAGCTTTGACTTTTCCGTAGGGTTTACAGATCTTTCTCAGCAGGCGATGAAAAACGCCTTTTAAGGGCATGAGATTCATGTGAGATCTGGGCGTGATGCCCGCTGACGTTCAGCAGTCTTAACCAGAAGTTTTAAAAGAAGCCGTTTAAGGGCATTTCCTTAAACTGAAAGTGTTAGTTTAAAAAAAAACAGAAATGGAAATAGTCAAATGAATTGGGAGGGATAGTATTCACGTCTGTGCGACGGAGACCGAAAGACGGGCTATCATAATGCAATGAATGAAGCGCAAAAGCTCACGGCAACGCAAATGAATGTTCTGCGCATGCGCATCAATCATCCGCCCAGCATGGAGGCTTGATGAACTCTGTGCCAGTGCTCGGGGCTGAGATTCTCTACTGCTGTGAGGATTCCTTACTTCTCTCTAGTTAGTGGAAGCTGATCATCAACTGTCAAATGTATGTGCACACATTTGTTTTATTACATGGATATAACGTTCTATTAACTTAAATGATTTCTATCGCTTATCCCATCAATCCCTCTCAAGACCTTTCTTAATTTACATCTTCTAAACATAATTTAGTATGTTTATTAAGCTGTGTTTTTGTGACTGCTCCCTACAATGTAGATTATGGTTTTTACAGTTCTTTTGAAGCCAAAACCACCACACAGAGAGACATTTACTATAATCAAAACTAATATAGAAGCTATATTATATAGCTATATTGCTGTATATAGCTATAGAGGCCTCTCATAGATTCAATTCAATTCGATTCAAGTTTATTTGTACAGCGCTTTTCACGATACAAATCATTGCAAAGCAACTTTACAGCAAATTAAGTTTCTACAATATTTAGTGGTAGCTTATCAGTGGTGACTGTCAGTAATGACAGTAATGTACATATGGCAGAAATGTACAGAAAAATCAATTAAAGACGTAATCAAACAGATGATGAACACTAAGTGTGACAAACATGCAAAAAAATAAGAAATCAGGAAGGGGGCCAACACTTTTTCACACCACTGTATATATAGCCTACTACAGTATATAAGCTCATAAATTCCCCATAGCCTAATATCTATCTTGTAATACAACCATTAAATTGCTTATTATATTGAACATGTATATTTTATTATTACTATTTAATTCATTGTATTCAAAATAATTATATTCTAAATATTAGCAATGTTGCATAACACAACTATTTGCATTGAAAGGTCATATCCTGTAGCTCTGTGTATCTTCGTTAAACATATTTCTAACAGGCACAGACACAACCCGAGAGAAACGTTATCATTTTAAACCGAAAGGTTTCTCTGGCAGTAAGAGTAGTCACTTTTTGTGGCAGCTCCAATCTGCAAGTTGAGGCATGAGTTTTCTCTCTTTCTTTTCGGATGCTTCTTCTTTCTCCTTCCTTTATCTGCCATAGCCCTATATGGTAAAAGTCTGTAGCACACTCATTATACAGGAAATGGTGAAAACCTTAGCACCCACGCTCATGCAAACACGCTGTGTTCTCTGTGGTGCTCATTTGTGTTTAACCATATTACTGTTATCAATGAAACACATTGTTTGATAAGAATCTAACAATTCACTCATTAAGAAAACACCCTTTGTTTATTTCTTCTTTTAGTTTTCTGTCTATCCTATCTTTATTTGAATATCATCACATGCACATTAAACTATCATGAGTGCCTTCAAGTGTGACTGATGCATAGCACCTGTATCTGGTTAAAAATATCAAGGGCTCTGTGTTGAAAAAATCTTAGTCTTAATTACGCCCTAACTCTTTCACACTCATTTTTGTTCTCATTTTAGTATAGTTATACAACTTAATACTGTATATAATATATTGATGGTTATTTTCCAGTATGATACACTATCTTAAAATTTAAATGAACTCTTCATGAAATATGAGGTCAAATGGTTTGACAGATATTTTATTATAGGGGGTGTACTTGAGATTTCTAATTAGATAGTCATAATTAAACAGCTGAATTTGTGTGGGACTATAAAAGCTGACCTTTTCTTTTGATCTTTGCGCTTGACCTTTCATTGCATTGTGTTGGTCTCTGCATTGGATTGCAAGAAGTGGGCCTGATCAATAAATGAATAACTTTGTTATCCAGCTCATTGACCCATATACTAAAGAGCGATAGCCCAATTAAACAGACATTTCTAGTCGGCTAACATTTCAGGGAGATTGATAGATTTGTTTGGAATAATTAAACTGATCCAGATACAGACAGAGTTTCTGGTTAGGGTGCTTCCTCGTTCAGTACTGAAATATTCTGTTGGTACCTGGTTAATGTTTATAATTGCATTTATGAATCCTTGCCAGGGCTGCATTCTCATGCTACCTTTGATCATTCAAAAAAGTGTACGATTTTTTTGCCAGTAAGATTTTTTTAGATAAAAATGATTTTATCAAGCGAGCATGCAATGATTTCATTAGAAGTTCAATTAATTTTTTTTTACATTGTTAAAAATATATCTATTTCAAGTAAATCCTTTTTTTTAACTTTATATTCACCAAAGAATCCTGACAAACAATAAAAAATAGTATCCACAAAAATATTAAGCAGCAAAACTGTTTTCAACATAAATAATAAAAAGAAATGTTTCTTGAACCCCAAATCAGCATATTCTTAAAGATTATTTGACACTGAAATAATGGAATATGGAAACAGAAATGGGTTATGTTATATGATTAGTATATATATATTAAAAAAGTCAAGTTTCAATTAAAATTACATAGTAACATTTACTAAATATAATTTATCCAGTTAAATTGGCTGGTCAAGTACAAATCTGACTAGTAGGGGAAAAAAATAATTTTTTGATTTTGCAGATTAATTTCTACCCTGAATTTGAGGCATTTTCCAGACCAATTAACATTTCTATAAAACAAACTCTCATGAAGCTCTGCAACATTCAAGAGGGGGCTGAATCCAACCCACAACTGAACAGTGGTCAGTGAATGATGCGAGGCTCTTGTTCTAAAGAAGAGTGTATTATAATATTTTATAAATGTGTAAAAATATTGCTGTTTTTAAATAGCTCCAGAACTTTCAACACCTGTGGTCAGCAACACATGAGAACATTGCAAGTTGGGTTGTTGGGAACACTGTTGGTGATGGGGACCCGAACACTGGCCAGCAGGTTAGTGACAATCGGAGCACTGAGCCAGGTTTGGCTGGTTGGAGTGCATCTTGTTAGCTCATGACAATGGCAGCACTGTGCCAGAGCCTGAATGGTTCACAGGAACATTGCGAAGTGACCCATTCACTCACTCTCAATGGGCGCCCCTTTCTTGCCCAGTTAAATCCCATCTTCCTTTTCCCCCAAAGCCAGACTCAACCAAACTAACCAGCAGTCCCTCATGCCATTGTCGCTAGATTTCCTGTAGCCTTAGGCCCAGATGTAAATAAAGGTGTTTGTATTTAAACAAATTCCCCTTAGCCAGCACCTCCGAAACATCAGAAAACTCTATAATAAGGCAAAACAGCAGATCATTGAGTAAACCCTGCCCTCCACTTGGGTTCTTCCATTCTAGCCATGAAAGGTTAACAAAACGCTGTGTTTGTTGTCATCAGACTCCTACACTACTGACTTGACTGAACTGCCAATCAAAATAAATTTAATGTAAAATAGCCTTAAGCCGCTAACAATTTTTTAATGTATGCAAATTACTAATTTGGTGTGCAAAGATGTGTACAAACCATACTTACATATACTTGAAGGTTTGGAGTCTTTTTAAAAAGAAAATAATACT